TAAAATCCACCTATGTCAGTCTCAAAGTCAATCTAAAAATGTATTTTTATTATTTTTTTTTAATTCACGCACTTAACTAATATTCTTAGAAACTGCGATATTTGATCTCAAAATCCTTTCAAAAATATTCCTAACAAATCCATTGCTCTCCTTTCTTCTCAAAGTCCTCCCAGAAGTATTTTTTAAGTATGAGAGAGCGCTACATTCCTTAAAAATATTCTATAACAAATCATTTGGAATTGTAAATTGGAAGAAAATACATATTGGAGCAATATCTAAATCCGAACTGATTTCAGCAAAACTTGACACATATTATGTTACACAAACTTTAGTACGTTGTGCAAAATTGTATGGCAATCGGCCTAACTTTGGACGGACAATTTTCAGGAAACTTTACACACATCATTCTGGACTCAATTCAGTACTCTATGTCAAATTTCGTGCAAAATTAAAATTAAATCGGGCGAAAATATATGGGAGCTATATTTAAACCGATTTTTACGAAACTTAACACACATCATTCTAGACCTAATTCAGTACGATATGTCAAAAATATGAAATATGATATGTCCAATTAGAAAGATATATTGGGACTTTGGTACACCATTTACATTACATCGGGCGAAAATATATATGAGAGTTATATCTAAATCTGAACCTATTTTCATGAAACTTAACAAACATCATTCTAGGCTTAATCCAGTACGCTGTGCCTAATTTCGTGCAAATCGAAAATATATAGGGACTTTGGTGTACCATTTACAGTAAATCGGACCAAAATATATATGGAAGATATATCTAACTCTGAACCCATTTTTCCCATTCATTCAATTCGGATCATAAATGAATATTCTCAAACGGAACCAGGATAGACACTCGTTTCCTTTTGCCTGTTACAAACATATGCACAAAGACATATTACCCTGTACCACAGTGTGGTGAAGGGTATAATTAAATGCTCTTCCTTAACCATTTCAAAAAATCCTAATTTGTTGGCACAAAGTCCATCCGAAAATGTTGTTGGCCACAACATCCTTCCAAAACATTATAAAAAATCCACTTTTGTTGCCCTGAAAGTCTTTTATAAATTATTGAAATCTACATTTTTGGATTTGAAAATATTCTCAAAAATCGATTTTGTTGGTATTAAAGTCATTCCCAAAATATTATTTTACAAATCCACGTTTGTTGCTCTTATAGTCCTTTTAAACAAATTCTGTAAGAAATCCTTGCTTGTGGAACACAAAGTAGTTGAAGAGATATAAAATCCACTTCATATACTCTTTCAACGATATAGTTTATAAATACACGTTTATTGATATCAAAGTCCTTAAAAAGTATTTCCATATTTGTTGATCTCAAAATCGTTCGAAAATCCTAACAAAAATATTCTTTAAAAATCCACGACTATAGGTCTCCTTGTCCTTCCATTCTTTTTAATAGAAACCATAATTTTGGAGCCGCTCGCAATTAATAAAAAAATATTAAGAACCTATTAACAAAATATCACTAAAAATTTAATAATATATATAATAAATCACATCATTAATTAATAATCATAATAATAAATTGTGTGAAATATTGCTCGTGTGCAAATTATGTAGTCAATTTACATTAATTAAATGCTACATTTGATTACATGATATTAAAAAATAAAGCAAAAATCGTATTTAAAAAAAATTATTATTCTCAAGATGTTTGCTCGTTATTACGTGTTAACAATTCAGCATAACGTAACGTAACGACGTTCTTTGATGTGAATTGACACGAGGCGTTTGCTTGCTTGCCTGCCATTCACACCCAAAAAAGGTGATGTCGTTCAGAACCACTACATCCGTTAAAATTTATTATACAAATTAATACATAATAACAATAAACATATGTAAATGCAATAAAAAAGGCACAACGCAAAAACATAAATTGAGGCAGAAAAATTTTCCATTTGCTATCACTAGGATGGTTAATGATCGCTTGGCTCTGATTGATTGTGCGGGCAAAAGTTTTAATGTCTAGACCAGCATTTCAATGAAGCATTCTTATCACGCATGCAACGGGGATTGCCTACATACATAACATCATAGTGGGCATTGTATGATTTAATAAAAAAATAAGTGATTTACAAAAAAAAAAAAACACTCGACCAGAGAGTGACTTAGAATCATTCACTCTTTAATACCCATAATTGCAGTAGGTCAGCAGGGTAGACTGATTTGTCAGTTACAAAAAAACTATGTCGGTTACACAATACTACAATCAAATGTCATAACAATAACACACATCTCGTTTACACATACCAGCCAGTTTGTATGCAATTGGATTCTTATTCAATATCATTACGAAAATTGACACACGTCGTTAGTTCTCTAAAACCCACTGACTCAATTCCATTCGATAATGTGTAATAATTCCAAGTAAATGAAATTAAATAATACCAAACTGATAAGAATACTAATAAGAAATATTATGGTTATTTTTTGCATAATAAATTGTTTATAAACAAAGCGTAAATTATAGAAAAAAATTATGACACAGATAATAAGTGTGATTGGCATCACCCACGTGTGCCACCTTTCAAAGGGTGTATTCATTTGGTAATAAATTTTGCAGATTATGGAAGGGAAATTTTCTCTGTTCAATTCACGTTGAAAATGCGCAATAATTTTACCACCTTATTTAGAACAAAGAGAACTTATTCCAATATGCAATTAATATTTTATACAGATTCTGATAACCCCCTTACAATGTATTTGCTATGCATGCATTAATTGTATTTAAAATCTTTGAAATATAATATTTTTGTGGATTTTAAAATAAAATTTTCGGAAGAATCTTCACAATAATAGGATTGGATTTGAGTTTTTTAAAGAATATTTTTTTCCAAGAATCTTCAGAATAATAGGCGTGGATTTTTTAAAGAATATTTTTTCCAAACAATCTTCAGAATAATAGGCGTGGATTTTTAAAGAATATTTTTTCCAAACAATCTTCAGAATAATAGGCGTGGATTTTTAATGAATATTTTTTCCAAACAATCTTCAGAATAATAGGCGTGGATTTTTTAAAGAATATTTTTTTCCAAGAATCTTCAGAATAATAGGCGTGGATTTTTTAAAGAATATTTTTTTCCAACAATCTTCAGAATAATAGGCGTGGATTTTTTAAAGAATATTTTTTTTTCAAGAATCTTCAGAATAATAGGCGTGGATTTCTAAAGAATATTTTTTTTTCAAGAATCTTCAGAATAATAGGCGTGGATTTCTAAAGAATATTTTTTCCAACAATCTTCAGAATAATAGGCGTGGATTTTTTAAAGAATATTTTTTTTTCAAGAATCTTCAGAATAATAGGCGTGGATTTTTTAAAGAATATTTTTTTTCAAGAATCTTCAGAATAATAGGCGTGGATTTCTAAAGAATATTTTTTTTCAAGAATCTTCAGAATAATAGGCGTGGATTTTTTAAAGAATATTTTTTTTCAAGAATCTTCAGAATAATAGGCGTGGATTTCTAAAGAATATTTTTCCAACAATCTTCAGAATAATAGGCGTGGATTTTTTAAAGAATATTTTTTCCAAGAATCTTCAGAATAATAGGCGTGGATTTCTAAAGAATATTTTTTCCAAGAATCTTCAGAATAATAGGCGTGGGTTTTTTAAAGAATATTTTTTCCAACAATCTTCAGAATAATAGGCGTGGATTTTTTAAAGAATATTTTTTCCAACAATCTTCAGAATAATAGGCGTGGATTTTTTAAAGAATATTTTTTTCCAACAATCTTCAGAATAATAGGCGTGGATTTTTTAAAGAATATTTTTTTCCAACAATCTTCAGAATAATAGGCGTGTATTTTTTAAAGAATATTTTTTCCAACAATCTTCAGAATAATAGGCGTGGATTTTTTAAAGAATATTTTTTTCCAACAATCTTCAGAATAATAGGCGTGGATTTTTTAAAGAATACTTTTTTCCAACAATCTTCAGAATAATAGGCGTGTATTTTTTAAAGAATATTTTTTCCAACAATCTTCAGAATAATAGGCGTGGATTTTTTAAAGAATATTTTTTTCCAAGAATTTTCAGAATAATAGGCGTGGATTTTTTAAAGAATATTTTTTTTCCAAGAATCTTCAGAATAATAGGCGTGGATTTTTTAAAGAATATTTTTTTCAACAATCTTCAGAACAATAGGCGTGGATTTTTTAAAGAATATTTTTTTCCAAGAATCTTCAGAATAATAGGCGTGGATTTTTAAAGAATATTTTTTTCCAAGAATCTTCAGAATAATAGACGTGGATTTTTTAAAGAATATTTTTTCCAAGGATCTTCAGAATAATAGGCGTGGATTTTTTAAAGAATATTTTTTCCAAGGATCTTCAGAATAATAGGCGTGGATTTTTTAAAGAATATTTTTTCCAAGGATCTTCAGAATAATAGGCGTGGATTTTTTAAAGAATATTTTTTTCAAGAATCTTCAGAATAATAGGCGTGGATTTTTTAAAGAATATTTTTTTCAAGAATCTTCAGAATAATAGGCGTGGATTTTTTAAAGAATATTTTTTTTTTCAAGAATCTTCAGAATAATAGGCGTGGATTTTTTAAAGAATATTTTTTTCAAGAATCTTCAGAATAATAGGCGTGGATTTTTTAAAGAATATTTTTTTCAAGAATCTTCAGAATAATAGGCGTGGATTTTTTAAAGAATATTTTTTTTTTCAAGAATCTTCAGAATAATAGGCGTGGATTTTTTATAGAATATTTTTTTTCAAGAATCTTCAGAATAATAGGCGTGGATTTTTTAAAGAATATTTTTTCAAGAATCTTCTGAATAATAGGCGTGGATTTTTTTAAGAATATTTTTTTTCAAGAATCTTCAGAATAATAGGCGTGGATTTTTAAAGACCAAAAATTCTTAAAATTCAAAATCAAGTCAAAATCAAAAAAAGGATTTTTTTTTAATCTTCAATTAAATTTGATAATTTTATTTTTTTTCCTCTAATTTCAGATTAACCAAAATGGTTACATTGTACTTGAAGATTTCCTAACACCCGATGAGGTAGATGAACTCTACAAAGCGGGACGCGCCCTTTGTATGGATGCACCACAAGAAAATCGTAAAGTCTTCGATACCCGTAATCATTTAGACGCGCAAAGTAAGGAAACCTACTTCCTTGAATCGGGCGACAAAGTGCGATATTTCTTTGAAGATGGAGCCATTGGAGAGAAAGGAGAATTGTTGGTCGATCCAATGCAGGCTTTGAATAAAGTCGGTCATGCTTTGCATGTGGAAAATCCTGTCTTCAATAAAATTAGTTTTTGTAATCGTGTTAAGGAAATCTGCTGGCAATTGAATTTCAATAGACCTGCCATCTGTCAGAGCATGTACATCTATAAGAATCCCAAAGTTGGTGGTGAAGTTATTCCCCATCAAGATTCCTGGTATTTACATACGGAACCCAATTCGGCCATTGGCTTTTGGTTTGCATTGGAAGATTGTACTCTGCAAAATGGTTGCTTGCAATTCATTAAGGGCTCCCATCAGAGTGGAGTGCATCGTCGTTATATTCGTAATCCCGAAAAGGATTCACAGGAATTGATGATTTATGATAGAGCTGCACCGATTTATCCTCATTCTAGTTTTACACCCATACAATGTAGTAAAGGTAAGATTGCAGACATAGACATATACATTTTATATGTGATATTAATAATTTAATTTTTTTCTAGGCACCTGCATTATCATCCACGGCAATGTGGTCCATAAAAGTGATTCGAATCGCTCGCAAAAGAGTCGCCACGCCTACACTTTCCATGTTATTGAGACTGAAAATAATGTTAAATATTCCGAGGACAATTGGTTGCAGCCACCCAAGGATAAACCCTTCCCCGTTTTATTTGAAAGAAAGAACTGATGTCGTACTCTAACTTATAGATAGATCTACAATTGTATCTGTGAACTGTCCCCAAACAATTTTATATCCCACATATAATCCCCCAACCCCACCTTCTTTTGTACTTCTATTTTTTATGTAAAATAGCATAATATCTATGTTTTAATTTTGATTTTTTTTAAATAAGTTTTCTTCTTATAATATTTTATGTAGCTTTATATGTTTAAATGAAATAACAATTGTATTAACACACACACACAGACATATGTATGTACGTGGCATAGACAAGATAATTTGTAATTTTTAAATAAATTTACTTATAAAAATAAAATATATAATAAAAACACAAGTAAAAACAAAATTAATTTCGGCGGGTTCAAAATGTTTATACCCCCTCGCCATGAGATGGACATTCAAAATACCTAAAATTTCACATTGGGGTTATGTCATGGTAAATTGCTGCTAGGAGAAAAAGAAACATCAAACTACTGACACTCAGGTCGGAAAATTGAGCTACCACCTTGAACATACCGAAAATGACGCGTGACGGTTGACAACCATCCTCAATATACAGTACCTTTATATTTAAGTAGGAAGATTACCAATAAGAACTTAATATATTAAACCAGTGAGCGGAGCAGTATAGTCGGACGGGGCCGACCATGCGATACCTTACACAACTTCCATGAAAATATAGCTTTCTGTGGTTCTATATTCTGAGATTTGGCAATATTTCGCGATATTTGCTCATTTTTGACTGGCTAGAGGTCAGCAAATGTTGCTAATAATCAGTACAGCCCCTCTAATTACTTGTCCAGATTCTCTTCACCCTGCGTTGTGTTGTAATGTTCGGCTTTCGACACGAAAAGTACAAATAATTATGTTTTCGGTCCACTTCATCCGAAAAATTATTATCTGATCATCACCTAACATTTTAGGCGTTGTCCTTGACCATAACTGGAACCATATGGAACATTTCAAAGGGATCAACGCTATATTTCCGCCCTCCAGTGTGGTAATAGGTTACTAAATAATATATGAATACGTAAGCACCTGTAAATATTTAAGTGTAACTACCGCATCCGAGTACCTACGACAATATAATTGGTATCAATTTAAAGGCATAAGCATTCCTCTTGGATAACTATCAACTTCTCGGGGTCTATATCCTCCAGTGGTAAATATATACGCTATAGAAAACAAATTTTGTAATTTTTTACACAAAAGTTAGGGTCCATTTGACCCGCCAAATATTGACCGATCTTCATCAAAACAGGCATGCTTATTCTTTGGCCCGATCCCCTTCTCCATGCAAAAATTCGCGGTGTTTGGGCCATAATTGTAGCATCTGGAGCGACCAGAAAAACCGACAAAAATAAAGTTTTTGGTCCATTTCATCCCCTAAATATTAACCGATCTTTTCCAAAAACAATAGAGGTCTTCATTGGCCAGAACCCATCCTACATGCGAAATTTCGCGAAGATTGGTCCATAACTGTAGCCTGTATCATGTTTACAAATTATAATGGACATATGGACGGACACACATGTCTAGATCGACTCAGCTAGTCGAGATATGACGATCCGTATACTTAAAGGTGGGTCTAGGACCAATATTTCGCTGCGTTACAAACTTTTGGGGCTGCACAAAGCTATAATACTCTGACAACATAGTTGGGTAGGGTATAATTAGACTCAATCCGATTAAAAAACGTGCTCAAAAACCGAATAATAATGCCAAAAATCCCCATATTGGGTTTTACCATACTATGGGGTCTGCCCTTCAGCGTTAGTCAATATTAATCATTTTTAGTATGGATGTGTGTTATTCAATGAGAATCCAAAATACCAAATTACAGTCAATTCGGTTGGAAAAAGTGTCCAAAATACCGAATATTGGAGGGTACCGTCATATGGGTCTGCCCTGAAACTTGGGTCAATATTAAGTTTTGGTACGGGTATGTGTTATTCAATGAGATCCAAAATACAGCCAGTTCGGTGGAAAAACGTGTCAAAATTCCCCAAAATACTGAATATTGGGGGTTACTGTTATATGAGGACTACAAGAAAACGTGGACCGATATATTCCATTTGCAATACCAAACATCCTAGTTGTACTAGCAATGTCTGGCCAAAAATTCAGAGCTCTATCTTAAATATTGCGATCTCTATCGTGATTTTAACAGACGGACATGCGTGAATCGGCATAGAATTTTCTGATTTTGTGGGGTCTCCGGTGAATATTTCGAGGTGCTGCAAGCAGAATAGCAAATTTGATATACACTTCACCTTTTGATGGAGGGAATAAGAATAGGGGTAACAAAAGGTGACCATACGTCCATCTCTATCTGTCATCTATTTCTATAATCTGTCATATTTGTCATCTATATTTTTAAAATCTTTAAAATCAATTTTAATTAAAACAAATTAATATAAACATAGTCGACATAGGCCTACTTCAATGTTATGTTCCTTATATAAAGATCCCAAGCTTAGGCCAAAAATTTGGCACGGTCGTACTTAACGAATTTTTAACTCATTTTATATATTTTACTTATAAATATATAAAATGAGTTAAAATCAAAATGTACAGTTTATACACATACTATTATTTTTATTAAGGGAACACCCCCTCCCCCCCTTTCTATTTGTTTTATTATTAAGATTTTAAATGGGCTGGTAAATGAATATCCTAGTTCATACGAGAGCTTTACACTCGCAGAGATACGTGTCAAAATTTGGAACCGATTGGGTTATTAGTTTTTGAGTTATCGTGCCCGCCATTCGTAAAACACTGATTGGAAAAAATGCGTTTAAAGTTTGAGAATCACTCTTGCCGTCACTTGGCACAATAAATCGGCTATATCTTCAAGAGTTCTTGAGATTTTCACTTGATTTTGTAGGGACATTCTAAAATTAGAGTAGATTCGAATATAATAAAAAAGTCTAGGTCCTAGATATAAAATGTTCTGCAAAATCCTAGGAGACAAGGATCAAAATACCTAACATTATCTAGAACTTACTATGAAGGCTATGTTAAAATATAGGCCTACACTTAATATTTTCAGCATAAAATAAATTTCAGGTAAGTCAAATTGTAGCCCGTTCTCTTTGAAAATGTGACTAAAACCTTAAAAATATCGTTATTTAGGGTATATACCAAAAATAATCACATCGGTTGGAAAATTCGACTAGAATCATCAACATATTTATTATGTGGCGAAACATTTATATGGAGGCTATATACGAAGATGAACTAATATTGATAATGCAGTTCGTCTTCAGACGGCTCACAAGGGAGACACAATTTAAAAAGTATAATACGCCCACGGACTTAAAAATAAAATATTACAAAATGGTGATTTGTTAAGCCTTCGCTTAACTAACACGTGGTTATCAAATTAGACGAAATTCTTCGTATACGAATAACCTATTAAGTCTTAAAGATTTTTTAAAGATATTTAGACTTTTTCTACACACGATATATAGTCCTATACCTTCTATACTAAAAAGAAAGTGGACTAAAGACGAAAAAAATATTAATATGTCTGGTAAGAACATTTTCCACACAATGAAACAAATTATAGAATATCCTGAAAACTAGAGGTACCGTAATACGGAATATATACCTAAACGTAGAACCATATTAAATATTTTTTTTATATTACAGCTTATTCGGAAATTTAGGTATACTCATATGGAGACTATACCTAAATGTGGGTAAATGTTAAGAATTTCTGCTAAGAATGCGCAATGAGAAGCAAAAATGTAAAATTAAAACCAATTAGTACAAAGAATGTAACTAAAATTCTCAAAATATCGAAAATTGGGACACCTTATATTCCATTTTTCAATGCCAAACATCTTAGAAATAGTAGCAATGTATGAGTAAATCTTAAATATTTAATGTTCTATCGCGATTGCAACTGACTGGCAGGCGGTAATTTCTAAGTTGGTGGAGGGTCTAAAAAGTAGATATATGTTTGAAACTTTGTAACCTAATATATCTGTGAAAATATTGAATACCTCCAAGAACACATTTTATCTTGTTGCAATCACTATCAAAAGTGTTGACTATAGTGAACATTTCAAAATTTTCTAAATGGTCCACCTAAAATAAATTAGTTCCTTATGAAGAATAACTCTGTTGCACAACTCCTTTTGGACATAATAAAGGTACAACCAGAAAAAAACTACAACGAAAATGGAATACACACACTAGGACGGACCAATTTGTATGGAGCCGAAAAATCCCGCACTCTATCGACAATTCTAAGCAACTTTGGTAAAGGAACCATAGGTCTATCTCGATTTTCGAGTCTCCCACTGTTTAAAAAATGATTTTCCCTATAACATCATTTTGATTCAAAATTCGATTATCAATTTTACCGAAAAACTTGTAATTTTTCTCAGAAAATAGACGAAAAATAGTTAAATATGTATATATTAAAATAAATTAAATATATTAAATAAATTTCTCGACCCCAAAAACCCCAAATATACACATAATAAATATAATATAATCGAATTTTGAATCAAAATGATGTTATAAGGAAAAACACATATGGTTCCTTCACCAAAGTCGCTTAGAATTGTTCATAGAATCATCCTAGGGGCTGGATTTAATCGACAAAAAATTTGGCCCGCCCTAATACACACTAACTCAATACGATCAAACAACCAATGTTTCTACGGACCCATTACACTGGTTCCTTCTTCGCCCACCCGACCTAATGTTCCTTCAATTCAGTGATTATACATCACTGTCTTTATCCCAATCTCATGATCTTATTTCGGCTTCAACACACTCAACAATGCAGATATTTTCTTCTCGACTTCCCAGCTAATAACACTTGCAAGATGTCCGCAATAGATCTAGTTAATGTCGAGTATAGAATGTTATGCCAGGAGAATGATATATGGTGTATCCTGAAATTAAAATATACAAATTAGTCGTATTCCAAAAATAACTGCTACAGATCCCTTTACGAGACACCGAACTGGTTGAGCACAATAAATTGCAACCTATACGTAGTTGTCTGTTTGGCTAGACAACTGTCG